TTTGAGATACGGGTTGGTCTTTGTATATATTATCCCTGCTATCTCGTCATCATTGAATGGCTTTACTACCTGTATTTGTTTTCTTATATTCTTTATAGGTGTTAACTTAGTGTATGAACTTATTTTATTTTTAACTTGTATTGGCAGCAAAGGTGGTTTAAAGCTGAAAGGTCAAACAACGAAATTCAAAAGGGATTGAAGCACTTCCCACTGCACCAGCATCTGAATGTTTTTCGGTTTTTAGGTTATTATGGTTGCCCGAGTGACGTTGAATTAGTCAACTACTTGTTGGAGAACTGTGTCGCGCTTAAGGAAATCTTTGTTGATACCCGAAGTCAGGTACACGAGGCGGGCTATCCACTTGATTCTGAACAATTAAAATTGGCTGAAATAGCAAAGGTTTACGCCAAACAGCAGCTGGAGCCGCTAGTACCTAACCACATTAGCCTATTTATATGCTAACCATTTCTGTGTTCAATTTAATACTCTTGTTTTCCTGGTAATTTATATTAATGACTTGGTGTGATTTATTCTGTGTCTTGTGTTGTTGTGACTTGTAGTGTTTATTAGTATTATGGAATGATACTTTGCTTTTGTTGTAGTATCTTGCATGTGAAATATTTTTTGGCATCAGCTTATTTGGGGTTGTGTGTATTAGCAGTTCTCGTCCCATTCTTCATGTTAGTGAGTACACTTCACTGTTCTTGCTCGTGTAAAATTTTAGCAAGCTTCTTTGCTTCATTTTTCTTGCTCGTGTGCGATTTATTAATAATTATTGTTTACGTTGTGTTTGGCCATATTGTTCCTAAAATTCACAACTATTTGGTGAATTACAAAATTAGATGACTTGTCAACAAAACAAGGTAGGTCTACCCCCTAATAAAGGTTTCGCTCTTTAGCCTCGTGGAAAGTTCAGAGGATTTCCAGGCTTAACCGAGTTCCTTGCCTTGCTTGTCTTGGGGCCTGCTCTTCTGGCTTACCGGCTTGCTTGCTTCCTGCTCTTGCCTCTCTGGCTGCCCTAACTATTTGACCTGCTTGACTTGCTACCCGATACCTGTCTGCTCAAAATCGAAATGAATAGCCAACTCGCTTAGCTTGTCTTACCCCTGGCATTACTCGCCCGAACAACTAATGTGCGTAGCCAATACACCTGCCACTCTTTCAACTCGCCGCCTTCGAATGTTGGAGCTCCTACCATTCATGTTCAAAAGGCCAACCGCAAGAACAAGACCAGCTGAATGCGAGTTCAATTACGAGGAGATGGGCAAGCCAAGCCTGCTAGTAGCCAATATGAAAAACATTTTTAAAAACTATTTCATACTTTAGTTCCATAATCATAGGAAAAGGAGGTGCATTAACTAAAACAAAAAGGCATAATCGAAGGAAGAAGCAGTTCATTCTGGCAGGCTGGCTTGGGGACATCGAGCTTCTATCTAGTATGTGTCGTAGGCTCCGGTACTACATCTGATAGGGTTGTGTCCGTCTGCGGGTATGTAATCATCGAAAGAAGTGCTTAACACTGGTGGGTCTAGTCAGGTCGTGACCCTCGATCAAACCATCCTAGCAATGCCCTCTTCTCAAAACAGGCGTTCAATGTACGGATCATCGCCGCTTGTCTTTGGGGGTGGGATTTGGAATTTTGAATTTGAATTGGAAGGTTTGACAGCCAAGGAGCGGCAAATAAGTAAATCTCTTCGACATAGCAAAAGAGAAAAGGAATAATAATCTCTTTCTTAAAAAGTCAATAGTAGTCAAATGCGAAGCATGAAACTAATTAAAAACTTGGGAATGGCTACATCGGAAAAGCGTGAAACAATGTCAAGTCTCGGGTTTGATCGAGTGATGACGAGAGATAGAATGAAACAAAGCCTTACATTTCTTTATCTCTTTAAAGCGAGTGCTTTGAAATGTGCCGCTGTAGGAATAAGTCAACTCAAGGCCAGCTAGACGAGATAGCGGCCCAGTATCACTTTTTCCTGTGCATCCGACCTTATTGAATAAAGAAACCCGAGGTCCACTTCCTTCCACGTGCTTGGCTCACTTAAAAAATACCGGTGTAAGTGGGCCCAGCAAGGCCTTTCAACTTCTTCCTCTGTGACAAAGAAAGGCAAATCCTTCATTGCTTGTTGACATCGGATCCACCATAGCCCTACCTTTTTGAATGAAATAATGACGCTCCACTCTCTTAAAACACTTATCACATAACTGCACCATCACATTATTAAGTCGAAATTGTCTATTTGATTTTCATATTTACTCCAAAGAGCAGTTACTATTTCCTAATTTTGTTTTTGTTTTTTTTTTTTTTTCCTATTCTTATTTATCACTTTCCCGTTCTATCAGATCTAACTCCCCCCCCACACACACACACAAAAAAAATCCCAAATCCACATCTCAAAATCTTTTCCCAAATTCATATTTGAAACCATTCGTCAAAAGAATTTTTCGAGCAGAAAATTTTATGGGCAATAAATTCATCACATTCAATGAAATTGACGCCGTCGAGATTGACGCTCCAATACGGTTGTGCGCGTTGACCGGTTCTCAAGCGGAGATTGATGGTGGAGGGACCAACTGGTGACTGAGCATGAGTGAGTGGATGGCCAGGGCGGATGAGCGGCCGGCTACAGCGAGATGGTGTCAAACAGCTTCTGTCACATTAATGGCGGCTGAAATTCGGGTGTTTTGAAGAAGAATATGGAAATAAAGACAAATCTCATATTCTCTTTCTTTAAAATCTAATTTTCGCAAAGTTTTTCCCCAAATGAGAGAAAGAATTATCGAAGTTTTTGTTTTCATATTGTTATTTGTGTTTTTTCCATTGTTAAATAGCAGCATGTTCTCTCCCCCCACTTGTACTAAACCTCTCTTTACAGAAAAAGATAAATTAGTCTTTCCAACTAATCAATCATGAGTCTCTCAATTGATCTGTCATGAGTCTCCCAATTGATCTTTCTCTACTGGGCTCAACCCAACATCAATTGGTCTTCTTAGCATTTTAGTTCATCAAATCATCAATGGGGCATTTTTAATTTGTAGCCATGTGGTGAACAAATCATGCATGGTGCATTTTAATCCAAGGCTTATGCAGTAATAGTTAGGCCAATTTACACGTATCCTACACGTTTTAGAAGTATTTGTAATCCTACGATGAATTGCAATTATTTAGCAAACCTACGAAAGGAAGGATTCTTTATTGTATTTATGCTATATTGTCTGTTACCAAACGTGGACCCAATCTGTTCCGTTTTTTAAGGAGAATTGAATAACCGAAGAAAGAAAACATGGAAATAAATTATAACAATAAGCTATCGCGTAACAGAATCTCGACGATTACGTCTGTAACAACTTTTGAAATTTTAAATC